TAAAAAAAATCAGTTTCTTTTTTTTTTCGGGGCATAGTGGCACATGCCTGTAATCCCAGCACTCTAGAGGCTGAGGCAGGAGGATCACTGTGAGTTCGAGGCCAGCCTAGGCTACAAAGTGAGCTTAAGGCCAGCCTGAACTGCATAGCAAGACCCTGCCTCAAAAAGAAAAAAGAAAAAAGAAAAAAAAAAAGAGGGCTGGGGGTTTGTAGCTCAGTAGTAGAGCACTTGCCTAGTATGTGCGAGGCCCTGGGTTCCTTCTCTAGCACCACCAAAAAAAAAGCCCGCTGGGGGTATGTAGCTCAGTAGTAGAGCACTTGCCTAGTATGTGCGAGGCCCTGGGTTCCTTCTCTAGCACCACCAAAAAAAAAGCCCCCAAAATAAATGAATTAATGAACAAGATGTAGTCATCTCAGTATAGAAAGGATCTTTTTAAAATCACGACATAGGGGCTGGGGATTTAGCTCAGCAGCACAGTGGCTGCCTGGCAAGTGCAAGGTCATGAGTTCGATTCCCGGTACCGGGAAAAACAACAACAACAACAACAACAACAAATAAAATAAAATCATGACATAAAACCCAGAAGCCATAAAATTAATGAATTAACGAACAAGATATAATCATCTCAGTGTAGAAAGGATCTTATTTAAGCCATGACCTAAAACCATAAATTTTATTTTCATGACATTGAATCTATACAGCAAGGTCAGGATGATTAACTGAAGAAAACATTTACAATTTATATCTTTTATTTTTCAGTGCTGGGGATGGAACCCATGGCCTCATGCATGCCAGACAAGTGCTCCACCGCCAAGCTACATCCCCAGCCCTGTCATTTAGGTCTTAAAGGACTCTAATTGCAATCAGAAGCCATACTCAGTGGAGAAAGGGGCGATACACAGAAAAGAGAAATGGCTCTTAACCATGAAAAGGTGCTTGAGTTCACGCAAAAGAAAAATATAAATTAAAATTTCACTAAGAGACCATTTCCCACTTCTCAGTTTGGCAAAGATTTAAAAACTGTAGTGCCTTGCTGGTTGGTGAGGGTTCTGGAAATCGGGCTTTTCTTATGCACAAGGCGGGTAAAGGTTCGGGCACAGGAGAGGATGAGGATTTGGAGGAACCCGAGTGTGAGATTCTCTTGTGGGCCCCGGGTAAGATTGATGCCCTCAGGCGGGGCAGCTCCTGCACCAGAGGGATGGGCCGTGCGCACAGAGGGGCTTCCAGACTGTCGTGAGCCGCTGGGAGCCCCCGCTGCTGTGAGGAGATGAGGCCACACTGACATCCAGCCCATTCACTGTTTATCCTACTCCTCTATTTGATTACGGATGATTAGCTTCTTTGGAAGGACCCAGGAAGCCATTGCTTTCATTGCTTCCGGGTCATGGAAGCAGGTGGCTGGGAGCTCAGGTAGAAGGGAGACTCTTGGCTCCAAAGGTGCATGTGACTGTATCACCTGTTTGAAAACCAAATACTTTTTAGTCCTCGGCTTGGCTTCTACTGTCCTAGTCCCAGCGCTGTCCCCTCTGGCCCTCGGGAGCCACTCCCAGGGCCTGCAGGGCCATCAGCCAGCCCCTCCGGTTCCCTGCCTCGGGCCCAGCCCTTCCCAGTGCCCCTCCTCCCACGGGCGGTAGTTCCCTCTGTCACCACACCCAGGGCTCACCTGTCATGCACCCTGTGATCTCAGCACCCTGTGCAAATCCCACAGCTCCCACTGTAGTTAATACAGGTGAAGCAAGGGCGGCATGGGGAGATTAAACAAGCTGGGACTTGGAGTTTGAATTTCAACGGTTTGGTCCAAGGACCAAGTCTTTCTCACTACACTAGGCTAACTCCATCAATATCCAGGCCACCTCCTCCGAGCAGCCCTGCCTCCTCCACTGACAAGAATAAGTGTGCTCGTGGGTGCGCGTGCGCACGCGGTTCTGGGGGTAGTATGCGGGGCCTCCTGTGTGCTAAGCACATGCTGTACCACTGAGCCACACACTGCTCTTTTGAGTTCTATCTTTTTGGGTGAAAAAAGAAAGCTATACTACAATAATCAGTACATTATTTTTGACCCAGGCCCAGGGGAGGGAGCCAGGCTTATTCCTAAATAGTCTGGGCCTGAAGGCATTTCTAGACTGGCTGTAGAACTGTTTTTCGTCTGAGCTTTTCCTAGTAGGTTCCAGGCCTCCTCTTTTTTATTTTTATTTTTTTTTTTTTTGTCTTTTTGAGACAGGGTCTTGCTATGCAGTTCAGGCTGGCCTTGAGCTCACTTTATAGCCCAGGGTGGTCTCGAACTCACAATGATCCTCCTGCCTCAGCCTTCCGAGTGCTGGGATTACAGGCCGGTGCCACCACGCCCGGCTCCAGGCCTCTTCTAAGGGCTGCATATCTATCCCTCAGCTAACTCTAGCCCCCCACTAGAAATCCCATCACCCACAGGAAACAGACATTACAGTGGGGAAACTGAGGCATAGGGTGACAGCCACTGCCCACTAGTGGGAAGAGACAGGCAGAGCTGGTACAGAGCTTGTGCCCAGCTCTGACAGCTCTCCACCCTCTGCCCACTCCCCTAGGGCAAGAAGCCAAGCCAGGACACATTTATTAGGGGCCACGGCGAGAGTGGGAACACGACACAGGTTGTGGGGGCAGTGCTACCGGCCCGAAGCCCACCCAGTAGAACCTTGGACCGGGCAAGCAGGCTGGAAGCACTTTGCTCTGTGGAGGTCAGTGCCAAGGACAACACGGAGGCTCGGGAGACAGAGGGCAAACTGCTGGGCTCACACGCTAGAAAGGAGCAGAGCCGGACCCCAGGCCCACCTACCTGCCCGCCCTCCCATCCTGTTCCACTTCTGGCTCCTCGGCTCCCAAGCCAGCCCCCTCTGCTGCTCAGTCCCCAACTCACTGTGGAGGGTACAGGTGCCCAGCTCCAGCTGCATGGGGTGGGGGAGACGACTGGGAAGTCTTCACCCCAGAGGTTTCTAACCACTGAGGGGCAATTTCGTAGTGAGGCTGAGGGCAGGCTGTGAGGTCAGGTCAAGGCACTTGCATAACACAGGTGTGGCCTAGGGTAGGCATGGTGTTGAGACAAGGCACATAGGCCACACTGAGGGTTCAAACAGCCAGGGCTCGATGGGAAGGGGACCTGGCTCTGAGGGCAGAACCTCTGAACCCCACCAAAGTGGATGCACCACTCATGCGTTCAGGCCCAGTGGGTGGGGCTCCTTTAGTGTGATCTGGGAACTGGCCAGAAGTCAGCCCAGCCTCGCCTCCCCACAGCAGCGGGCTCTCCAC